TCTCTTGCTGTTTCAACAGATGCACACAATGTGGCGTATTACCTATTAAAGTGGTGATCCTTAGCAAACTTTGAGTAGTATAGGTTTTGCTGAACAAATCTTGTGTAGAACCCATAACATTCATCAACAGTCACCCTAAACTCCACATGTTACTGAATAACTAGTTACCGGGTAGGTGTCAAATGTCTGGTTCATTGGTGTCTGTATCAGTATACATGTACACATATGTTTTGTTTGTTGTTTAACGCCGCACTCAGCAATATCCCAGCTAATTAATAATGTCTGTAAATAATAATCAAGTCTGGAGCAGACAATCCAGTGATTGACATCATGAGCATCGATCTACGCAATTAGGATACGATGACATGCATCAACCAAGTCAGCAAGCCTGACCAACTGAACCCGGTAGTCGCCTCTTACGACAAGCATAGCCGCCTTTCACAGCAAGCATGGGTTTCAGATGACCACTTGTGACCAGGATCTACACGGGTAACAAATATGTACTTATAGGTTTAAATGGTATTTCCTATGTAGAATCCATGTGTGTGTGTGTGTGTGTGTGTGTGTGTGTGTGTGTGTGTGTGTGTGTGTGTGTGTGTGTGTGTGTGTGTGTGTGTGTGTGTGTGTGTGTGTGTGTGTGTGTGTGTGTGTCTGCTTTTGCTGGGCCGGACTAATGCCGGTTTGATAGTGCTAGATAACATGAATGCCCTTCTCAGACACAATATACTGACACCCCTGCGACCAGTCAATGTTTGATCGCAATGTGCTACGCAGGGTAACAACAAGAGTGAGTGACTTGGTTTTTGCGCCGCCTTTTGAAATATTCCAGCGATATAACAACAGGAACACCAGAAATGGGCTTCACGTATTGTACCCATGTAGGGAATGGAACCCGGGCCTTCGGCGTCACGGGCGAACGCTTTAACCAGTAGGCTACCCCACCGCCCAGTAACGACAAGAACAACGTTTAACGTTTTGTGATATGGCGCGGTCAGGGGTTCGAACCACGGCCATTCTGCTCTCCGAGCGGACGCTCTCTCCACTTACCGGTCGTCCTTATATGTGAGGTGAGGCAAAATTCGGTTTAACGTCGCGGCCAAGATTATTACACTTATACAGCGACGTGCATGCACGTGTGTGTGTGTGTGTGTGTAGCTGCTTGGACTGATACCGATTTATAGTGCTAGCTCACTGAGATACCATGCTGCAGTTTAACATGAATACCCCACTCAGACACAGTATACTGATTCCGAGCCGACCAGTCGTTGTTTTAGCCCCTTGTTTTTAGCGCCAGACAGGGTAACAACAAGTACCATCTTTTAACGTATTTTGGTATGACGCGGCTGGGGATCGAACCCCGGACCTTCAGCTCTCCGGGCGGACGCTCTACCTCTAGACCACGGAGGCGGTCATATATATGTTGTAATACCACACTTGTTATACCGTATTGCTAATACATGGATGGTCGACCACCTGGAAAGACGATCACAGTATCCCGACATCGTGGATTGATTTGTTAACTATCAACCACCACCTTGCTTGTTCATTGTTCACTACATCGTGATCATACCTGGGTATTCTCACAAGGCTTTGAAACCACGATCCATGTCGCTCAGTGCAAAGCTATACAAGCTGAACCAATGCACACAAGCTGGAGGTGAAAATCCCCTGTAACATTGTGGCGTCTACAATATCATTAAAAACTTGACTATTTTGACTTGATCTTCAACGTGAATAGCCGTGAGGGTCTACAGTGAAGCAGTACACGGGTATTCTATTCCGCTTTTGGATACAAGATGTGAAGCCCTTGGTGTCTCTAACAGGGCATACACAAGAACATCAAACGCTCTAGCTCACACACTCGTGCATCTTAAGAAAAATGAGATTTGTTATCCTTAAAATCTAGGAGGAGATCGAGAACGCCTAGATTATATTACGCAAGTGTACGTTGAACGCTATGTTCCGCATGCAACGCTTCACTTGTCGGGAACATGACGGAGCGTCATACGACTCTTGCTAAAAAGTGTTTGATCAGGGTTACAGCATTCAAGGTCTCAGTAAAGCTTTAAAATAGATTGATGGTAGATAGGTGGAGGACATTTCCAAACTTGACACATCAGTTACCAAAATGATGTCCGATGCAATTCAAGGATGAGTGAGTTGGGTTTAACCACTCTTTGAACTGTATTCAAGTTATATCACGGCGTGTCAGTTTAATGTGGGAGAAAAGCCCGATGAGATGCAGGTCTCAGACGTTTACCACTTTGGTCAAACTCGCGAGCACGGGTACGGTGCTGACAAACCTAGAAACATAATCGGGGCGAAACGGGATTCGAACCCACCATCATAGATTTCTGGCGTGCGCAAAGGCAGAAGATCTGCTCAGCCAGTTGCACCGCCTAAGTCGACTGGGACATCCGAGAACCCTATTTTGACTTGTGCTCTGCTAGACCTACATGTAGTACCATCACCATTTAATAATTATTCATTAACGTTTGTTCATAATATAGACGCAATCGTACACTCGTCTCACCTTCTAGCAGAGATTTTATATGAGTGAGTGAGTAAGTGTTTGCCGCTTTTAGCAATATTCCAGCTACATCACGGCGGTGGACACCATAAATGGGCTTCAATCATTGTACCCATGTCGGGAATCGAACCCGGGTCTTCGGCGTGACGAGCGAACGCTTTAACCACTAGGCTACCCGACCGCCTCGGCCCCAAGCTGAAACTGAGACCCCGGATGTTGCGAGTGTCTCATTATAGTCAGAATGCACCTGCATACATTTCTACACTGACGGGTGCCTGCTGCAAACATTCCTACACTCCTACAGGTGTCTGCTGTCAGTATTGTTTCCTATATTCTCACCTCTTTAAAAGACTCATCGCAATCTACACGGAGTGGGTCGAGCTCAAAACGCTTTTCAATCGTTGTCATTCTATACTGTTTTCCTTTTCACCTAACACATCTTGTGACTGTGTAATCGGTTGTAAACTCTTTTCCAACGACAGTGAAAGAAATCAGTTTAAGCAGGAATAATTCGATAAAGCTTCAGCAAGATGGTTTGAATCATTTTATATAGCAGGTGCAATTAATAGGTCTTTACTAGACGAGGAATTGCGATTAGATAATTGATATTATACATTATCACAATAATGATATCCAATAATCAGGTGTTGATATTCAATTTGAGAGGAATGGTTTCTTTGGATGAATTGAGTCATGGATATACATCAAATGCAATCGTGTTTAGTATTGAATTTTATACAGTAGTATTACTCTTCGCTTGTGAGATCAAACATTATGTGGTATGAGCGTCGCTAGAAATTTCTCGTCTTAAAGCTTGGTCGCAGAGTACATGGAAGGGCATGTTATGGCAATAATGAAATACGACAGATTAAAAAACGCCTTTGAACATCCTAACGTTCAATATCATTCCTGATACTATTTCCGTGTGGCTCACATGTTACATGATAGTATGTATGATTAACCCTTTCGGTGTAAACTTAAAATGCGAATGCCGTTTCGCCCCGATTTTATTTCTAGGTATGTCAGCTCGTGAGATTTACCAAAGTGATATACGTCTGAGACCTATATTACTTCGGCTTTCCTGCAAAATTAAGCTGACACGCCGTGATATAACTGGAATACTAATCAAAGCGGTGTTATACCCAACTGACCCGCTGATTCTCTTAAAATGTATTTATCAGTTCCATACACCATTCAGTACATTCAAATCCCTGAAACCACTGAATCATAAAACTCGAGCAAGTCCGGTCGGTTACTGTTGTTATTTTAATACATACCCGTTTATGGTTTTTGGTTGTCAGGAGTAACAAAATATATTGTCGAAATATTTGAATGTTCTTCACAGTAGGTAATGATAACTGGGGAAATTAAAAGAGAAACCCAACGTGTTATGAAATTGTGTTGTAAATGTACTTGGTAAACTAGGGGCATAAACATTTTAACGATATTAATGACTCCAACGGCACTCAAATTCATCCTGGCACAGAGCGACCAGTAAATAAGGAATCCTAGAAGCTGAACAGGATCCGAAAACGGCTTTGGTAGCCATGGTGTCGTTATGAATATTTACGTCCAAATATATGTGCATGTATCAAGTTTCAAGATTAATGAATCTCTGTAACCTTTTCAACACTTCCTTAACAATGCAAGCAGTTAACAGGAGGTTAATTGTCCAAACCTGGGTCATCTACAGTCAAATATACCGTTGTATATGTGCTTTCGTTGAGTTTAAGAATATTCCAGTCATTTCACGACGCGACGGGTTAGCTTGAAGTTGAAGTAAGGACAAAATGACAGAGGCAAATGCAACTCTTGTGAACGAACCCACGAGAACAGGTATGTTACTAGAGACCATGCATGCATCGAGGAGAACCTGTGATTTGAACACACGCCTATCGGATGCTGGTGGAACTGCTTGACTTACTTTATGAGATAAGCATCTAGCGTTGTGCTTGACCGGACTTAATTACGGACTCCCCGGTGACAATTCCCTCAGACCACTGTCGCGTTAAATACTTAACCTTTTTTATGTTCGTGGTGATTATTAAGATAGCTTTATCCTTTCGGCTGCAAATTGTAACGACCAACATTCAGTAAACTACGGTTATAACGAACTCAAAGGGACCGCTAATTTTAGTTCGTTAAAACCGTAGTTCGTTATATGTATATATACAACAAATATACGGCAAATGTCCGGGACCAACAAATAAGTTCGTTATATCTGTCAGTTCGTTATAAGCGTGTTCGTTACAAACGTATTTTACTGTACTTCAATCTTGATATTCCTAAGCACTAAGTTTGTCTTCTATGAATGAAACTGAAACAATACTGCGTTTGATGCAGGTGAAATATTGGATCAGTTTTAAATGTTGACGAGATACATGAAAGCGAGGCGAGGGAGAAAGGGTTAATGAAGACCACCAGCTCAGCCTATAAAATTACAGATCCATCTATCCGATCTGAATCTACCCGACAACTTCCCAGCTTGTGTATATGTAATTACATAGACTGGTCGATCTTCTCATCTTGTCTCTTCAACTGACGGAGTGAAGACGTGGGTTCTGCAAGGATGACTTCTTCCGCCGTTGTTATTTTCGTCAGCGCCGTATTTCTTTGTGTCGTGTTTGGAGATATTGAAACACAGGCTCTTCCCGGACATGGCGAATTTGTAAAGCGAGTCCGAAGGCAAACAGGTAAACAAAATACAACCATCACTGGGTTCAGCGCAGCGGAAAAACAAAACATTGTGGACAAACATAACGAATATAGAAGAATTCCCAATGCGGCGGATATGCTTCTGATGGTAAGAGTTCATAATGAAATGTATCAGTACTTACTTACTTATATAAGTAAGACGTGTCTTTCTTTATTATGTTTGTGTTTGTTTATCATAAGACTTGCACCGTGTGATCACAACTCATTGTGTAAACAAGAGAGACGTGTCGAGATGCCCCAATACGTCCATGTGAAAAGGACAGCATAAAACGCTGATCGATAAAGGGATAAATCAATGATTTTTTGATAGGATATCCATAAACCTTATTGAATTCACTTGGAAGGGTAAGAACCGTATTATTGGATTTCACTGTGGATAAGTTTAGATATGTTCCGGGTTTCGCATACACCTGGTGTCATCACTGATTTTCAGTGATCTATTCATATCATTTTCACCGCTATTTTACCCTTTACGCATTATGGAATCTGTTTCGACAGATAACCGAGACTGATTATTCTCTGATGTAGACGTTTTATATTTTACGGTTACCATTTAATTTGAATATGCAACGAAAACTCGTCATCTTGAGAGCGATGGAACACTAAATACTATATCGAGGACGAGACAAAACGTAATGACATGTATAATAACATATTGCCCATAAATACGAATATATGTTGTCATATGAAGTTGCTTCGATATATCGCCTTGAAGAAGTGAGCGAGTATTGTTTTACGCCGCGTTTAGCAATAGTCCAGTAATATCACGGCGGGGGACACCAGACATGGGCATTTACGTTGTGCCCATGTGGGGAATCGAACCCGGACCTTGAGCATGACGAGCAAACGCTTTAACCACTAGGCTGCCCCACCGCCCCCATAATGATGTTCGATGGAATGATATTCCCTATAAATTCCTAAAGCCAAGTGCATGACATGTTCACACAATACGCTATATAATTCCGTACTGTTTCTTCAATTATAAGCAAATGGTAGACTATATAACATTTCATTTACTGTTCCTGTGTCGTCAAACCCAACTGGCTCACTCACTAAAAAAGACACCCTCAAACCACTTTTGCTCTATTATCAATAACTTCTTCAAAACGTTTATAAATCAACTTTTATTCACTGCACTACGTGTGATTATATCGACATAATGGATTCTTTTAGTGTGTCCATAACGATATATTTAGGAAATAAACATAACGTGTTTGCAAGGTAGAGCTATGTTACCTGTCGGGAACCGAACGCCCAACGTTAGATACAAAATGTTAGATTTTGCACGTTTTGCCGAGCACGTCACTATTATGACGTCACGTCACTTATTGTAAGGCAGTAAATATGTAAGTTATCGATAGAAATGCGCCAAATTTCAAGCTCTCTCTGGTCCCTTTCACTTATTCTCTTAGTCTACATCTATCTTGTTATCCGCCCAAAATGTATCCACACACATAATTTGTATAGTGTAGTAACCACAATTTTAAATGACTACCGATAATCACTGATAAATAGTAACTTTGCAAAAATATCCGTTTCCGCAGTGATGCAGCCGTCAAATCGGTTATTTGAATGAGAGGTGGTTAGTGTGATTTGATACCTCTCACTGACCAATCAACATCGATTAATTTCCACATTCATGGTAGATCACACATCAAGTTCTCTGTCTGGGAAAGGCTGTATGAATTTCATGTAGAGCAGTCACCGCTTCAAAGTGACTGTTCACTTTTGTCACCTTTTGGTATCTACCTCAAAGCATGTCCTATGAGTCAAAGCGTCATCTTGTACAGTAAACTACGGTTATAACGAACTCAAAGGGACTACTATTTTTATTTCGTTATAACCGTAGTTCGTTATAAGCATATATACAGCATAACTACAGTAAATAGGCGGGACTAAAAAGTTAGTTCGTTATATCCGTCAGTTCGTTATAAGCGTGTTCGTTATAACCGTAGTTTACTGTATTATGATTCCCTAGCGATAAGTAAACACTTTACAGCTTGGCTTTGTGCACATAGGAACAATAAATGTTTCACGACAAAGGTAAGGCAATTTTGTGAATATGTGATACAGACGTTAATTGGCGATAACTCCAAACAGGTGCAATTATGTGAGACGTTTAAAATCTACAGTGGTATCACTGACATTCCCGGCATTTATTATGCGTAAATATTTACGCAGGTGGTTAAAAAGTCCACTTGAGCAGATTTTAAAACATCGTCTTGTAAACCATGTCCCAGTGTTGATCATAAAAGTTTGGTTGACAACCACACAAGGGTGGATTTCTTCTTTCAAAATCAGGCTATATGTTGAAAAGTACTTGCTTGCCTTAGATTGTTATCCTTTTAATTCTTACTTCATGTGTACACCCTGAATTTATTGCTTATAGTAATTGTCGCTCTCAATTCAGTCGTATACTCACACTCAAGGATTTTATGATCGTGAGGACGCGTCACAATGAATAGTTTTTATTTCATATCATCAATTGCAAAGGACCGCGTGTGGTTAATCGAAATTGCGTGCATTTCAGCTGTGAACGTTAAATACTACACCCATATTATTAAAGAGGCTGTACGCCCGTGTTCTGGTACGACCTGTGAGTCTAAAATTGTAATAATTGCCAGGTAGAAATGTAAAACGTCAACGCGAGAATACCCAAGTCTCGATAATCAGCCGAAACAGATTCCATTGGTGGTAAAAGGCAAAATATTGCTGAAATATTTTGAATAGTTCACTCAAAATCTGTGATGACGCCAAGTGTTCGCAAAAAGGGTAAACATGTGTCCAGCTCTACGGTAGCACCCGCCACTCACACATTTTGCATAAAAGTATTTGCATATTTCTGTTAAATTGATAGGTCATCATATTTGAGTCAGCAAACAAAACAGGTTTAACGACTGGAAACATTCTCGCTTGGACTGCCAATTTGCAAAAGTATAGGTCCCTTTAACAACGCAAGGTTTCCACTGGTAAACAGCTCAATTATGTCGAAGTTAGCATCAGTTAGCTTGAGGTTATGTATACAGGACAGTCACGTCGGCATGTCTTTCGGATAAGCCAAGACACCGTAATGGACTCCCAGCAACCTCTGCTGTCCATAAGAGGCGAAAACTGGATCGGGTGGTCAGGCCCTGACTTGTTTGATGCATCACATCACGTGGATCGATGCTCATGATGTCATTAACTGGATTGTCTGGCCCAGATTCGACTTACAAACCGCTGTCGTATTGCTTGCTGAGTGCGGCGTTAAACAACAAACAAATGGTATCTTAGACAGGCAGTCGGGCCACGATTAACCCTTGCTTACTGTTCTTCTTAGATATTGGCAACTGCTGGTGTTGGATTGATAGGAGCAGGGTGGCTAGTTCTCGTGGGTCCCCTGTATACGGGTATCAGGGGGTGTAGGGCCCCCTGTGTTTGCGAGTACCCGGAGCGACCATTTATTTTGACGCTCGCTATTGCTAATTGTCGGTTGATCGGCCTCCAGTGTTGACGTGGGATTGACTCCCCATTTTGCAGACACCCCAGTTTGCAGGCAGCTTACACAAACAAAAGACTAGATTGAATGCACTGTACTTTACTACCTTCATACCTTTTCCTTGAAATGGTATCACCCACAGATCCCCACTTTGCAGACATAAGTCAAGCAAATAAAATAATGAAACATGAGTTTCTCCATATTTTTATTTTCATTCAAATATTCATTATTCATAATTCAATATTATTTTCGCTTTTATTCTGGATTATCTTCTCAGTAACTCAGACCGCCTCCGTGGTCTAATGGTAGAGCGTCCGCCCGGAGAGCGGAATGTCCGAGGTTCGATCCCCAGCCGCGTCATACCAAAAGACGTTAAAAGATGGTACTTGTTGTTACCCTGTCTGACGCTCGGCATTAAGGGGCTAAAACAACGACTGGTCGGCTCGGAGTCAGATTACTGTGTCTGAGTGGGGTATTCATGTTAAACTGAGGCATGGTATCTCAGTGGGCTAGCACTATAAATCGGCATCAGTCCGGTCTAGTACAAGCAGCCACACACACACACACACACACACACACACACACACAACACACACACACAACACACACACACACACACGTGCATGCATGCACGTCGCTATATAAGTGCAATAATCTTGGACGCGACGTTAAACCCCATTTCACCTCACCTCAGTAACTCATGGTTGGAGTTATTGTTACAATGATATGTGTTTGTATCATGTACATGAAGCTTTTTTCATATTATATTTTTGCTCTAATTACATATTAGTGCTACTGATGGTTGATGCGTAGTCAAACAAGCGTCATCCGAAGATGACACATACCCCCGACCCCAGACATTCAAAAGAACAAATCATCTGACTGCGACTTTTAGTCCAACTTGATGAGAGCGTTTCTATCAAATTATTATCAAGAATTGTTATTGAGCTGTCAAAACAGTACCATGGAATTGGGAATCGGATCTTTGTATTTCTATGTCAGGTACACACCAATATGAACAGAGTCAAAGTCAAACTTGACAATATGGTCTTTGTGTATGCAACGTTTCAAGAAGGAGTATCTATAAGTTTTAGAGATATGGTCCGGAAAAAAACACACCATTATCAACAGTCAAGCTCAAACTTGTTTCCATCGAAACAGGATTACTATATTTTTCGAAATTTATAAATTGCAGAAGACACCACTTCAGCCTCTGATTAATACATGTACCAAGTTTGGCTGAAATATTTTGAATAGGTTTTAGTTCTGCTTCGGAAACGACACATACCTCTGTTTCAGCTAAATCTGAATTGTTTCCATGGAAACAGGGGAAAATTAAATTTTGAAAAAATACGAAATAGAAAACGGAACCACATCAGCCCATGGTTAATACATGTATCAAGTTTTGGATGAATTTCTTTTCACGGTTTTCAAGTTATGCCCCTGAAACGAAATACGGAGAGACAGATCATATGATGACTATATCGCCCCGCCGTATATGCGGGGGTATACTGAAAGGAAACTTGAAACAGTCATCTCACGCCTCAGACTCACGATAAGCACTATGACTAGATATGCCCATCTTGCGTCCAACCTGAATCCATTGGTCACTTGTCACTGGAATGTCAAGACCATGCCCCAGCCCTGGTCAGTTAAGACAAGAATGGCAGTTAGATCTGTCGTAGATATCCTAAAGCCAAGAGGTGCAATAGCGAAGGCCAAACTAACTCTGTATTTCTGAAAGATCGTCAGCTACTCCAACGTTTATACACAGAGCGGCCAAAGAAATTCTATCATATTCTATCAATTTCTAAAAATCAAAATCAAATCATATCAATGCGAAAATATAAATCTTATAAATACAAAAATAGAATTTTTTTCAATACTAAATTCTTCTTTGTAAAACAATCTAAAAAGATCAAATCTATATCGTGCGCGGTAAAACCGCCAGTCCCATCCCGACATGGGTAGAATGTGTGAAGCCCATTTCTGGTGTCCCTGTGATATTGCTGGAATATTGCTAAAAGCGGCGTAAAACCAAACTCACTCACTCTGAATTGTATCTGTTCGTGTGCTGCCCTAACTGCGTGTAACATTTCACAACAGCAGTAGAGGAGAGTTCATGCATGTGTCATGCCTGCATTATATATCAGTAAATCAAGATCCGTAATGAATTATAGGCACACAAGTGTAACATCTTGTAATACTGTTGTGGTTTTGAAACTGGTCATGCGTATTTGTACGCAGTATTAAAGCCATGGGGTAATGGTGATTTGTTGTGCGTATTTTACGCAAATACGCAGCTGATCAGGAGCTTTGTTGATATATCTGATGTCAGTGGCACTCATTATACCAAACTGTACCGATTCCAATGAAATCCTCCCAATTAGCGAGTCATGGAAATTGAGTAAACGTACTGTGTATACATGAAAATATTACCAACAATGTCCGGTTTAAATTTACCGCAACGTCCGGTTTATCGGGGTTTGCACTGACGGTGTTTCAAAGTATATCTTACAACTTGATGTCATGATAAAGCATTACGAAACATAACCTTCTCAAATACGCCCAGCACTTTACTTCAAAATACAGTCAAGTCTCGTTAATCCGACACTCGTTAATCCAACAATCGGTTTTATCCGACACTAACGATGGGGACCGATTAAATCAGTGCTATTTAGACCCGCTTATTCGACAGTCTCGCACTCCGTCTCCGACTCACCTCATTTGCAACGAATTACCGAAATCACTCATTAATCAGTCTCGTTCATCCGACAGAGTGATATTTCACTCTCTGTCCCCAATCAAAATTACTTTTTTAAATCCCTTTTAGAAGTCATAAAATATGTAATTAATAGGCGTAACCTATTGGGAGCGTGCATCGAAGTGCATTGGGTACTATTTTAATCAAAGGGTACCTCTCTTAATCTTGGCCTCCCACTGGTTTTATGTTCTTCAAAGTGTACAGTCACATACATATGTGTATCGGAATCAGTTCCACTGTGACACACATTCAAGTCACTGTATATACAATGTACACGTTCAATGCGTCTAGCCATGAAGCTTAATGTAGTAGCCTGCTCTGTCTCGTTCCACAGAATAGCGCCAGGTGCATCCATGCAGGCGATATTCTCATGGCGTCTCAGGGTTCGTCAGGTCACACAATATACTCAATGTAATCTCATACAAAGTCACCATGTTATTACACGTCATGTGGTTTAACGCTCGGGTGACCCCGGGGTCTCAGGCGCCGCATTTCGCTGTTGAATCCCTTGGGCGTGCCACAACCTATAATCGTAGGTTCGAATCTCAGATTCGATCTGGTTATGTGTCTAGGTTTGTCAGCACCATGCCCGTACTCGTGGGGTTCACCGAAGTGGTAAACGTATGAGACCTGCATCACTTCGGGCTGGCCTGTCACATTGTACCGTCATGTTCTCGTGTAACTGGAAGACACTTCGAACAGGGTTTAATGAAAACTCTCTTACTCACTTATGCACTTGTGACCAATCAGGCCTTATGTATCGAGGATTTTTAAAATCGCGTTGTCATTCTGCACGGAGGGAATAGAGGTTTTAATCGACGTTTTCATTGTTAACCCATCTCGCACCTTTCATGATTGGTTTGGTGACGTCATATCATTTCATGAACCAAATTTACTCATTACTTCTGCTTATTCTTTTTTGGCTTACGTACCATCAGTGTTATATCACACCATTATACACTCTGTTATGTTCAGGCTGAATAATATGATAAATTTAATACCGTATACGCACTTTTACTATACTACCAAGGGTAAATAAAGTCTTAGTTTTGTGTGAATTCTCACCCAAAGTTTACTTACATCTGCACGCCGTGATATAACTGGAATAATGTTAAAAGCGGCGTTAAACCCAACCCACTGTGTTCATGAACCTGTCCATAATCTGTACAAGAAATTGACAATATTGAAATGCAAATTTGAAAGGGGAATGATTCTCACAAAATGTTGAAACTGAATGTGAAATTAGGTCTTGTCGGTACAGGTGTAGTTGAAAGTGGATAATCGATGTTCCACAAAGAATTCGTAAAGCTGAGACTATCGTAATAATATGGTTCAGTATGACAGTTACGGTCGTCCACGAAATGCGTCATTTTTCTAAAAAAACACCCTAACAGCCCGTGATATAATACTGTTTAAAGTAGCGTTAAACCCACCTCCATATGACGTTAGACAGTGTGTAGCACAACGGACAAACTCGGTCTTCAGTTTCAACAGGCTTTTAATAATAACATGGACTAATTGCATACGCTAGTATTACGAACACTTCACAAGGGCGTGGCAGAGACTGTGAGAGAGGCTATGGGCTGTTTCGGGCGTGACCAGGTTTGACTAGAGCTTGTCCCAGTATGCTGGCCTTCTGAGCGTTGACTTGGTGGTTAGCTGCTGGCCGTTAGCTCGTGTTGTTATGCTGTTCTTCTGGACTGCTCTGTCGGTCTGGTCCTGGTCAGTGTACAGCGCCCTTCTCTGCCTCTCTGCCGTCTGTACTGACGATGCTGTATATATAGGGGTTTTCTCAGCTGATTAGCTGAGACTCTGTCACAGCATAATTGGCCATCAAGTTCTCAGAGTGTCACAACAAGCCTCCAGCTCAATCAACCGTTATAACTACTAGTCGCAAATGAGCCATTAGTGACCCTCAAATCTTTAGGGGGGTCATTAAATACCAGAACGCACAGAGGGTGTCTTCTTGAATATTAACATGGATCAGTAACTGTTTCCCTTCGATGGTCACAATAAGCCCACCTGTCTACACAGCCTCTGCCATACTGAATAGTGTTACATTCGCCCTTTTCTTAATGAGAAATTTTCAACCTAAAATTTCTGAAAATAGTTATGACCATCCATAGATACATGAATACATCAAAATATATATACAATCCACAACAATCCGTTGTCCATTTCATTAGCATATAGTTAATACGTATACATATATAAGTTCACAAAATACAACATGTGCTGAAAACAGGATACAGTTTATCTTTGTACACAAAGAACTGAAGTGCAAAACACCAGCACAATGTCAGATCGTCTTTCCTGCGTTGTGTATATTTCTTTTCTTTTCCACAGTCAACTTGTAAAGTGCTGTAGTATGGTGCTCTGACCATATGCGACGACAACACTTCATGTAGTTTTCTGCTGTCCGTATTCCCGTCAACGTGCGTTAGTCGAACTCACGATGCCCTCGGGTACCCGCATCCAGCGTCGGGTAGATGCTCCGTATGGCGGGAGTTGGTCGAACTTCTGCTGGATCGGAGTCCCTTTGTGTCAAGAGGGGCGCAGAGGGTAGGTTTCCTCTGTAGGCGCGACCTGCGCTCCCAGTGTCAACTGGCGCCATCTCAAACTCGGTTGTAGCCAAGACATTCCTCTTACTCACTTCTCGCTTGGCTAGCCAGGGTCTAATAAATCTTACATACAAGAAAATCCCCACCAGAATTCCCACTACAGTTAAGGTCATTCCCAAGAAATATTTCCAATCTGAGGTCTCCTCATCTGGTATCATGGCCTGTAAATCATTAAGCTGATCTATAAGATGATTCATGGGGATATTCTCGATACTCTTGAGTTTATCAGGTAACTTAGTCAAGTTCAGTTTTATAGCAGTTTTCATGAAAGGTTTCCAAAGCAACATGTTTGAAACATTCGGGGTATGGACTAACTTCAGAAAATTATCTTCCAACTCGTACTGGCTTTCATTATGATAATAAGGAAGTAAAGTCAAATGATCATTAGATGCTGAACATGATGCGTTCAGTTTAATTATTGATAACGGAGGTAAGACCACTATGGTATATGAAAACTTATCCGTATCACACACCACTGCAAGATCCAATCTTTTATTGGTTGTCAATACCCAGCGTCCCGCAGTAAGATATTCTGCCCTAGGCAATATAGCATTTGGTTGGACTTCGGTGTGACATGTCCGTCGGACCTTTGTCTCATCTTTCATAAACAGAGCAATTACACATAGTTGGCTAAGATTGATTGGGTAGATCGGGCTCTGGATATGGCAATAGCCCGTAAGGGGTTTTGTACATATCTGAACTTCTGAAGGTTTCAGCAATGCATATTTCGTACGTTGTGCATTGACCGCGATTACCTCTGTTTCTAACCGATATTTTGCTACCATATTATTTATGGTGTTTGATCCTGTATTTATATGATTCATGACTAGAGGTACCGGCAAATTATGAGCCTGGTATATTCCGTATTCACCATTAACATCCAAAAGTGGAATCGTCGTGATTACTAATATTTTATCATCAAATAGGACGGTGGTACAAAGTAAAGTCTTATAGAAACCCCATAAATTGTCTACCGGATTACTTGCTAACCGGAATCTAATAGGGAGGTGAGTTTCAATGTCCTTTAATAGAGCCAACAACTGGCTTGGTGTTATGGTGCTGGGTGACAGATGACCCAAAGCCAACATATTCATTTGCAGCTGGAGGTGTTCTAAATAGGACAAAAAGGTTTGTACCATGCTTCGAATATTTTCGATTACTAATTCCACTTGCAAATAGGTCTTTGTTGCCCATTCTAACTTTGCTATTTGATTGCTCAATGTAGTGGAAACATTAGCAATTTCTTGTCCCACTATATCCAGATCGTCAATGACTTCATTAATGGCATGTCGATTCTCTGATACTTGAAATCTTGTAGCATTAATAATAGAGAGCCCTTCTTGAATGACATGCGCCATACCTGCTTGATTCTCTGCAAGCCTTCGTACATTTTGTTTAATCGAACTTAGGTCAGCGTCAGACACAGTGCCAAATAAGAAACTCAAGGCACTACCGATAAACGGCAATAGCGAACGCTTGGGTCGTGTGCGCAACCTACCATATTCTAAAAAATTGTCTGCTAGGCTATTTAAAGTTGTATTCAATCTTGTTATTTCTTCGTCTAATTTGATGTACATGCTTAAGATGCCTGTTGATTTGTCGGAGTGGTAGCGGCTTAAGAACTGTCTAACCATCATTGCGACTTGCTCAATATTATACCTACACTTCCCAATAAACTGATTATATGGGTCTAAATCAATAACGAAGGTTACTAGCCATTTAGACCTAGTCGTGGTAATATCATTCAGTTTTTGAAATACAATGTTTTCGTACATAATCGAACCCTGTGCTAGCCCCAGGAGGAAGAGTAAACCCAGAGGAAACATGTTCTCTCTGAAACATAAGAGTAATTAATCGTATACACTGGTTCTACTCCCAAACCATATAAAACTATAATAAACCAGCCATTGCCTGGAGCAACTGTTTCACCTTTTTACCTTTGTAGGAATGTGCGTTTTCAGTAGAGACCCTAGTTCGTTTTAGTTCAGTGGATTCTATCAACATGTCTCCTTGTTGCTATCCGCAACTTCACTTTCCACAACTGAATCTGTCGCTATCCGCAACTTCAATTTCCACAACTGGACCTGTCGCTATCCGCAACTTCACTTTCCATAACTGAATCTGTCGCTATCCGCAACTTCAATTTCCACTACCGAACCTGTCGCTATCCGCAACTTCACTTTCCACAACTGAACCTGTCGCTATCTGCAACTTCATTTGGATGAGTGCCCTAACTGGTCTGCTAGTGTCACTTGGTTTGTCTCAGGCACATTCTCTAGCCTTCCTACTGCACACCCTCTCCTTAACCTAAACGTTTTGTTTGTAGTGTTCACAATCATGATTGGTACGTTCCTATCTTTATTCATCCGTGCTAATGAGTTAGTGATCATTAGTCCGGGTTCACTTGACAAGTAGCCAGTACCTACAGCTGCCACTTGGTAAAGAGCAGTGTCAGAAAAATGTGGCCCTTGCTTAACTTTTGCCCTGCATAGACTTCTACTCTGAGGCTTTACTATGGTGTCCCCAGCCAGGCGAATAATGGAGGCAATGTGCAAGTCTTCTTCCAAAGGTACATAGGTCTTTCCTATCCTTAAGCTACCGAGGTCGTAGTAGAGCCTGACACCATTTTGTTTCAGCCAATCCCTCCCCAAAATGATGTTCCTATTCATGTTGCTTACAACATAAAATTGATGACTTAACGTCACACCTCTCATCTTAAACGTTATGTTTACAAAACCGTCTACTTCTAAGTCATTCCCGTTGACAGATTGCAGTGAAACCTTTTTCTTACCTAATTCATAGAGTCCTTTTAGCTTATGAAAAACCCTTCTATGGATAATGGAAACTTCAGCTCCAGAATCAATTAAACATCTGTATTGTTGTTTTCCTATCTTAACTGTACATGAACTTGGGCTACCAGCTAAATTTATACTATATTTTGTCCCCTCCTCCTCCTTCCCAGCGGTTTCATTATGGGAAGGAGTCTTCAGTTTAAACCTTTGTTACGTTGCCCCCTGTGTGCTCCATAGTTCACCCCATAATTCCTGGTTCTGTTTGGACAATCCCTTTTGAAATGACCTGGTTGATTGCACACCCAACACAGCATGGCCGGCGGTCTACCGGGAGTCCCCCCCCCTATCATTTGTAACTGCGTTGACGCTGGGCCTATTACTTGACCTAGTCCTTTCGTCGAAACTACAGTCCCTTGCTCTGTGACCGGTTCGGTTGCACTTAAAGCATTTAGCCTTTGGACGATAATGATCGACCTCCATAGGCTCTTCCCTACTTTGGTCATACATTGATCTGCTTCCCTTTCCTAGTCTCAGGTTAAATCTAGCACGTAGGTTCTGTTCATGCGTAGCGCCTGTCACAGCTGTGGCGAGGTTTGGTGGATTTTCTCTCATCACTTTCATTTTTAAGTAATCATAGGCCAAACCATCTATAAAAAATCCAACTAATTGGCGTTCTATCGCGGCAGCATTCCCGTCCCTGCCTAAACCTGTATATGCCTCTTCGGCAAGATTCAGCAGCCGTTCTGCGAACAGCTGCACACTTTCGCCATATTTTTGCTTGACTGCCCTCAACAACATGAACGCATGTTGTGGGTCTGTTATTTCCGCAAATCTCCTGGTTAGTTCATGCTTTAAATCCTGCCATGTTGCTGGATCATGATCCTGTAAATACCTATGAATAAAATCACTTACTGCCCCTGAACTTGACTGATAGGCCACCAGTTTTATTTTATCTTGATCGGCGTTTGTTAGTACTGCATATTTTTCTATGCTTTTTATCCATTCCTTAAATTTGGTAGGTTCCCCCTCAAAAGTTTTAATAACCTGCGCTATTCCCTGTGCTCCTAATGTGTCGAAAGATTCGCTAATTGTCCTGTTATTTGTCCTGCTATCCCTGTCAAAAATTCTCCCAATTCCTGGCCAGCCATCACGAAAAAATGAAATAGAAGAAATCCGAGCTACTTACCCAAGTTGGTCTGAGCGTCAATCTTCACTTGTCCCAGGCTGTTTCTTTGTTTTGACAGGGATCCGGGTCACGGCACCAAAGAAGAACCCTCTCGTGCTCTATGTAGCACAACGGACAAACTCGGTCTTCAGTTTCAACAGGCTTTTAATAATAACATGGACTAATTGCATACGCTAGTATTACGAACACTTCACAAGGGCGTGGCAGAGACTGTGAGAGAGGCTATGGGCTGTTTCGGGCGTGACCAGGTTTGACTAGAGCTTGTCCCAGTATGCTGGCCTTCTGAGCGTTGACTTGGTGGTTAGCTGCTGGCCGTTAGCTCGTGTTGTTATGCTGTTCTTCTGGACTGCTCTGTCGGTCTGGTCCTGGTCAGTGTACAGCGCCCTTCTCTGCCTCTCTGCCGTCTGTACTGACGATGCTGTATATATAGGGGTTTTCTCAGCTGATTAGCTGAGACTCTGTCACAGCATAATTGGCCATCAAGTTCTCAGAGTGTCACAACAAGCCTCCAGCTCAATCAACCGTTATAACTACTAGTCGCAAATGAGCCATTAGTGACCCTCAAATCTTTAGGGGGGTCATTAAATACCAGAACGCACAGAGGGTGTCTTCTTGAATATTAACATGGATCAGTAACTGTTTCCCTTCGATGGTCACAATAAGCCCACCTGTCTACACAGCCTCTGCCATACTGAATAGTGTTACAAGTGACAACGCATAGATAGACGTGGGTATCAAAGAGCATTGTATGTGAATGATTAGACTAAAATCTAGTCTCTGAAATGAACATATCGTACATAAAAAAACAGTTGTTCAGTTATCTTAATAAAAATTTAATAAAAAGGAGCCCAGTGACTCTCTTCATTTTCAGATACTGCAGTGATGTAGACTTGCCAAACATTATAGACTTGCATGGGCTGTATTTGATATATATTTGTATCAGGGTCTGTAAGACAGACTAGTGAATGATGTACTTGAAAATATACTTTTAGAACCAGTTCTAGCCAGGACCTTCAAATGGGCAATTACAATCAGTACATTAGAGTACTGTAGCATGTCTCCCAAGCGGCGCTATGGTTTAGTGTATAAGCACTTTACATGTAATACCCATTTCCCACGCCCAGATCTATCTACAAAAGGCTACAACACTTATATGGGTGTATATTTCCACAATGGGCAAACAGTGTATACCTCATGAAACCTTTCCACACTGGAAGGACGTTTCCAGTAGGATGTCAACATTTACATTCGATTTTTATGACGTAAAAAATCAGTAGTTTTGGAATAGGTAATTCAGGTTGCAGGACGATTTTGCTATATACTACGACTAGTTGATGGACCCCTACATGTTTTAGTACATTGTGCGAAGGGATTTAAAATGTAGTCCGTGGTTGTTATTCCCATCTTATTAAATGTGTTGGGTAACTCATCTTGCACTGTGGATGGGGGCGTGGGAATCTCTGTCAGAAGTACTCAAGTATGTGTGTCACTTTATACCTTTGTGGAAATAAATTGTTAGACCAAATAGCAAGTAAGCCAATACACACATGGTTAACCATGCACTCCTTTTGGAGACCAGCTTTTCGCTACATTGACTAACAATCGTCACCAAATTAGTATCCTTTCCATCTCCTAAAAAAGACCTTGTCAACACAAGCATGACGATATACAGGTAAGGTATCGCATTCCAGTCCATTTAAAGACATATTTCTTTGCGCAAACAATTTCTTAACATATAATTTCAAGTCCAATGTTCACACACAATGGTCTTTGGTTAGCTTAAAATATCTTTAAATTTCCACCTAAGAGGGGGGCACGGGTGGCCCAGTCGTCTAAGGCGCCGTGATTCGCTGTGCAAAGTTGCGTCCCTTGGGCACGCCAGAAACCTATGATTGTGGGTTCAAATCCCGGTTCGCCCCGATTATGTTTCTAGGTTTGTCAGCACCATACCCATGCTCGTGGGTTTCACCGAAGTGGTAAACGTCTGAGACCTGCCTCACTTCGGGCTTTCCTCCCACATGAAGCTGACACGCCGCGATATAACTGGAATACTGTTAAAAGCGGCGTTAAACCAAACTCACTCACTCACTCAACCCAAGAGTATCAAATACACTAAATTAACTCCTGACTCCAGGCCTGGAGCAATCACAGCAAAGGCACCGCTATTCGCTGAACGGAGTTGGGTCCCTTAGCCATGCCCGGATCCAATGATCGTGGATTCACCCTGATTATGATCCTTGGTTTGTCAGCACCATCTCCTTGGCCAGTGGGTTTACGAAAAGATATACAACCTGCATGACTGTGGGACTTCCTCCGGCAATAAGCTGCCACGCTGTGATATATAATCCAATACTGCTCAAGATGACCCGTACCATTCACCTGGCGTATGTGTCACTGTACTCTTTTCATCCAAAAGTCGAGCAAACGTTTCATAGCAGATAATTCTTTTCAGAATAGTTCCAGATCACGCATCCAGATGATGAAATATTCGGGTCCTTATGCTATATAACTATCTTATATGTCCATTACTGCCAAGTCGGCAGTTTTAATAATGGTCTAGACGACCTGGCACTCTTCACTGTTCGGCCTGTTAGTTTCACACATTGTACACACACACAGTTGATATTCATCACAGCACGACGCCACGTGAAAGATGATGGCTAAACCTGATGAACTCGGCTTTGACAGGATTTAACAAAGAACCGAACAAAATAATATCTAGATAAGATAACCGTAAATAATTATCTCAATTATTTATAAACTATAATCTTTTCCCCGTGGGAGAGGTTCAAAAGTCGCATTTGAACCGTATGGAATACATGGTTGACACAACACGCTCTGATGTTGTTAATTTTACGCTCGGGTTATGAATCTGACCTGTGTTGCGTTTACGTCCATTGTAGGGCGTAATTGTGGACTTGTATGGTCACTTGTGGGTCCATTGGGATCTGACGTGTTCAAGATACGTTCACCTTGTAAACATTGTGAGTGCAAATAGATGTACACGGTTAACCAATACCGTCACAAATACGACAAATGTCTGTCAGCCACACTGGAAGGGTTTCTCCTGTATGAACTATTACCTTCCATCAAAATATATACTGATAAAGTATCTTGGCGTGTTGCTTGGCCATACTATGCTTTTCTATGTGCGGCAGTATTGACTATAGTATATAGAGTGAGTGAGTAAGTGAGTAAGTGAGTATGGTTTTACGCCGCTTTTAGCAATATTCCAGCAATATCATTGGGGGGGGGGGGGGGGGGGGGGGGCTCAATGGGCTTCACACATTGCACCCATGTCGGGAATCGAACCCGGGTCTTCGGCGTGACGAGCGAACGCTTTAACCACAAGGCTGCCCGACCGCCCCTATAGTATATACATGACATAAACAGATTCTCAAACGTGTGTGTGTGTGTTATTTTTTTAGTGCTCAGGAAGCCATGCTTGTCGTACGGTGCGACTTCATGGATCGGGTGGTGACTTGGTTCGTTGTGTATCATCGTTCCCCGACGGCATGGATTGTCGCTCTTAATATCTCAAACTTAATTGTTCAATCACTGGTTTGTCAGGTCGATACTCGATAATTTACAAGAAGAGGTCAATCTACCAGAGAATCAGAACGGCCTGTATGAGGTCTATCTGCCTGAGAACGACTTGGTACGGGGTGTATCTGCCTACGAACGATTTACTAAAATGTAGTGATGAACGATTTGTTAAAGGGTGTGATGGACAATCTTCTAAGAGGTGTTGATGAACGATTTGCTAAGATGTGGTGATGAACGATTTGCTAAGAGGTGGTGATGAGCGATTTGCTAAGGAGGGTGATGAGCGATTTGCTAAGAGGTGGTGATGAACGATTTCCTAAGAGGTTTTGATGAACGATCCTCTAAGATGTTGTGATGAACGATTTTCTAAGAGGTGGTGATGAGCGATTTGCTCAGAGGTGGTGATGAACGATCTGCTGAAAGGTTGTGACGAACGATCTGCTAAGGGGAGGTGATGAGCGATTTGCTAAGAGGTGGTGATCAGCGATCTGCTAAGAAGTTGTGATGAACGATTTGCTAAGAGGTTGTGATGAACGATTTGCTAAGAGGTTGTGATGAACCATTTGCTAAGAGGTTGTGATGAACGATCTGCTATAGGGAGTGATAAGACAGAAAGACTAGTCTTCATTCCCATGCAGACAGGATACTGTCAGACTTGCACGAATATCACAGCAAGGAAGTGTGGAAGACAATAATAGAATAAAGCCATTGAATGTCTGTGATCTGTATTCTCAAGATCATGTTCTATGTGTAATTGAGTAACCGCACCCCGATCGCTTTACATCCTACAATCAACAGAGACTTCCATTTGTGTATTGTATTTTCTCTCTGCAGTCCTGGGACAACGAACTGGAGGCTCTAGCACAGGGCTGGGCGGCCCAATGTAAATTCGCCCACAACCCGAGCAGAACAATTGCGTCATCAACCAGTCAAATCGGCGAAAACTTAAGCATCAGGTCTCGTACGTCTCATACACTATCAATTTGGAAGGAACGCCATTTTAACTCACATTTATGTCTAATGTGCTTGCTTAGAGAAAAAGGCCAAATCCGCTTTTTGTGAAGCTGACGTCAGATATCATAGTCATGTATATCTGAAAAAACATTTTAAGCGTGTAAACAAATTCAAGTTCATCATTACATGACTCAGCGCTCAGTTGGACATGACTTTTTTTGTAAGGGGGTTATATTTCATTCGATAAATATTATCCTTCTTCAATCGGTATACAGTATTTATTAGCATTAATGATTGTTGCTAAACACAGTTTTTTCTATATTCTGTTTCAATCACTCGTGTCTATTTATGAATCACATATTGACCAGGGGCACGGGTGGCCCAGTCGTCAAAGGCGCCGCGATTCGTTGTGCAGAGTTTCGTCCCTTGGGCACGCCAGAAACCTATGATTGTGGGTTCAAATCCCGGTTCGCCCCGATTATGCTTCTAGGTTTGTCAGCACCATACCCGTGCTCGTGGGTTTCACCTTAGTGGTAAACGTCTGAGACCTGCATCACTTGGGTCTTTCCTCCTACATTGACTGTAATACTGTTCAAGTCGGTGTTAAACCGTACTCACTCACACATAATGACCAATGTCGTGCTGAATTGTTGTATATATCATCCCTCAGCATCTTACAACGAGGTTTTGTCAGTGACAAGCTGGTATAACGAGGTATCTGACTACACCTACAGTTCCCACACCTGCAGTGGAACCTGCGGCCATTACACACAGGTAAATTACTACAGCAAATGTGTCAAGTAGTCGGCACCAACAAAGGTGGTCATTACACACAGGTAATATACTACAGCAAATATGTCGAGTAGTCAGCACCAACAAAGGTGGTGATTTCACACAGGTAAATTTAACAGCGAATATGTCGAATAGTCAGCACCAACAAAGGTGGTGATTCAACACAGGTAAATTTAACAGCGAATAAAGTCGGCAACGGCAAATACTGTCTTATCCAGTAGTAAAAGTTTTTGTTCTTTTTCAAGTAAATCGCAAATATTAACTTGTTAACGAACGCCCTGTATATTTAATCTTGGCTGATATACCAATAATGACATGATACAAATGAAGGGGAGAACGTTTGTATTTTAGTTTGTTTTTGTTGGTTTTTATAAGGATTTTGGTGAGTTTTGTTGGGTATTTTCTTTTGGGGAGTTTGAGGGGTTATGTTGTGGTGAAACAAACTGATTTAAATATATGATTTAATATATGGAGTAAGCACTTCACAGGATCTTCATTGGCTTGTTTCCACTCGATGTAAACTTGCAGGTGATATGGGCGAGCAGTCACAAGATCGGGTGTGGGATCAAGTTCTGCAGCACCATAGAAGGATCGACAATCACGAACGGATACGTCGTCATCTGCAACTACCTTCCGGCGTGAGTAAAACATTCACAACACCTTTCTTACACAGGTGAACTTAGTAAATACAGTAAAGTACGGTTATAACGAACTCGAAGGGACCACTGATTTTAGTTCGATATAACCGTAGCTCGTTATAAGCATATGTACAGCATATATGGCCGGGACGAAAAATATGTTCGTTATATCCGTCAGTTCGTTATAAGCGTGTTCGTTATAAACGTTGTTTACTGTACTGGCATAAGATGTTAAATGTATAACATCAGCGCTCAGCGTAATGACGACAAACCTCTCTTGAGTGAATCCAAGTCAGTAGATGCTTCGTTCTGAAAATCACCTTGTGGGGTCTCCGGGTCAAAACATGACCCAGTACGTCTTGCTTCGTTCTGAAACCATGGGCTTGGTGGCATTGCGAGTAAAACACATCACCAAATTCACAGTTAAAACCGAATGCATTCGGGATTGAGGATCAGGACCATTTTTTTTATTTCGAAGCCTTTTGTAAAATGTCTTATGATAGGTCTTTAATATCTGTTTGAATCATTACGAAAAACGTGATACCATCGCATTGTGAGTGTATTGCGTGCGTGGCATTTTACACCATAGTCTGTACCGTTGCTCGCAATCATGTGTTTAGTCACCGGACTTTTTGACCCGTGAAGATCCGGGTTAGAATAGGTCTTCAGCAACCATTGCTTGCCGTAAAAGGTGACTATGCCTGTCGTAAGAGGCGACTAACGGGATCGGGTGATCAGGCTCGCTGACTTGGTTGATGCATGTCATCGAACCCGATTGCATGGATCGATGCTTATGATATTCATCGCTGAATTGTATGGTCTGGACTCGATTATTTACAGACTGCCGTCATATAGCTGGAATATTGCTGAGTGCGGCGTTAAACAACAAACAAACAAACCGGACGTTTTTGGTTTGGCCTGGATCATTAACAAGCCGGTGAGATATGCCTGGAATAGTTTGGCTGGGCAATTTTCACCCACTCCGAAACCTCGACAACAACGATTCTAATTCTGATTGCCATCCCAGAGGTTCTGACACTACTTATCAATGCTCATTGTATCTTTCAGTGGGAACTACAGAGGTGTAAAGCCGTACAAGGCGGGGGCGTCGTGTAGCCAGTGCCCGGCAGATCGGCAAACGTGTGAAAACAAACTATGCAGTGAGTAGCTTTCATGAACCAATCGAGCCTATGGTCAGAGCGTCCGTTAGTCACACCGGAGTCCCGGGCTCGATTCCCAGTAGTACGTTGTGTGAAGCGTATTAGCGGGTTCCCAAGAATCCATGTGGCTAGAATATCGCTATTAACGCGCAGGTCAAAATTCACTCACTCAAACATTCACCCATTCAAACATGTCTTCAGTACACAAAGACACTATGGTTGCACAAGCTATGGCTCTATTCCTGTGAAAGGTAGAATGAAACTGTATTTGGAATGAATTTTTAACCTTCATAAACTGTCTAGTATCACACGTCATATTGTGAATAATTTATTTTCAGTTAGGTTGGACGAGTCCATTATAATATGAATTTAGTTGTTGTTGTTTAACGCCTCACTCAGCAATATTCCAGTTTTATGGTGGCGGTCTGTATATAATCGAGTCCTCACCTAGACAACACAGTGATTGATATCATGAGCATCGATCACGCAATTTGGAAACGATGACATGCATCAGCCAAGTCAGTTTGACCACCCGAACCCATTAGTCGCCTCTTACGAGAAGCATTGGTCTCTGAAGACCTATTCTAACCCCGATCTTTACGGGCCCTTTGTAATAAGAGTAAAACGCATTTTCATTTTCTCACAGCGGACTTGTTAAGCGAATGGAGTGTTTTTATACCGCAGAAAACAATATATCAAGTATTATTTAGTGCAATCGAGGCAAACCTGTGTTTGTGTGACAGTGTTAGGGAGTTGACAAGACATCAAGTCATAAGGGCTCGGACGAGTCCAAATTTACTAACCGGGTACCCACCCCTCTATTACCCGACCCTACCCGGGTACCCGCAGTAGGTCTCAAGAGATAGGTACAACATGTCCGATTTGGAAACGCGTGACCGTACTCCTGTCAAAATGAATTTAAATACAGGTATAAAATGACCTGGTCATGCATACACTGAATTTGACTGAAGTTTTATCTTTATTCAAACATATAAAGTCAGAAGGAATGAGTGCATAGTCGGAAAGAAATGTGAACATTTGTCACTTATAGTGTAACCATAGAGTTCCAGATAATTTTTGCTATTAAACAATATAATGACGTGACTAACCACGGGTCCAGGTAGCCCCATGGGTACCCGGGTCCTACTCAGTACCCACCCGACCCGAATACCCGAGTTACCCGTCCCAGCCCTACAAATCATCATAGTTATATATGTATAAACAACCAGTCGATGCTATCATGCACCGGGTTACACCCATAATGTACTAATTTAGTAACATCTCTTGACCAAAGTGCTTCTCTTTCACCAGGTGCGGGAAGCGGCGGCAGCGGAAACACAGCTACGACTACCGCACGTCCGAATGCCGCGACTACGACTCCTAAACCTGCCACCACGACCAAGAGTGGCGCCACTGTCTGGACTATAACTAGTCCTATTTTGGTTCTAACTGTTGTCTGTGGCAACCTACTGCAAACAGCTTGACCTCGTACTGGTCAGCAATTATGTAGGTTACAGTTATGAAAACTAACTTCACATCCAAAGACTAACAATCGCAACCCACGCAAACGAGAAAGAATGAAATTTGTTCGTGATATTATAGACAAATGAACGAGACCAATATCAGATATATAGTAAAGATGGAATAGTAATTATACTAACAATAGAGCATGAACATTATATATATATATTATTTTGCGGACCTGGGTCATGCTTTTGCAGAACAAAGACCTTCCACGCATACACATATTGTGTTCACATTTGTACATAAAAGCGACAAAACCTTTTCCATCACACGGTATCATATGCACGATGCCGACTACATCACAAGTATGTGTTTATGAATCACTATCAAGTAGTGATGACACCAGGTGTTCGTGACCAGAGTAGGTGCTGATGGAAAAGTTTCATTTTCATATTATATTTTGCATTTTAAAACCTCGTTTTTGTGAGCAAAGAAAGTATTAGGACGAGCGAACAATTTGACCTTTTTATCAAAACCTTCACAAAACGTTGACAAAATACATTGCTAATCGGAATTATTTATAAGAAGAAAACATAAGTTTTGATTAACAGGGTTGTAGCATGCAGATATTAGAGGTAAAACACACAAGATTAGATTTAATGTGACTAAACTGTTATATTACACTTGTATGCAACACATAAATTTTAAAATATTTTTTTAATACCACACATCGTGTTAACTGACAATTGACATGTGCACAGAAAACGTAATCCACGTGGTAAAGATCAAATATGATTTTGACAGATGTTTGTAATCGTCTTCATTGAAGTTAATGTACAATAAAGTTTATTTGTGTTAATACAACTCATATGTTATCAGTGTATATGGATCGGCATTTATATAAGTTTACATAATGTTAACCTTGTCATTAAAACCCGTCGAAGCATTACTCAAGAGGATATATACACGCTACCTATTCGCAAGGTGAATGATTGACGAAGCAAATGAATTATCACAAGCAAACCGGTCCATACTGTCCATAACATTTAGTTATATACGCCCATACTCCATACTGTGACATAGCAGATATACACGTCCATACTGTGACATAGCAGATATATACACGTTCACACTGTGACATAGCAGATATACACGTCCATACTGTCACATAGCAGATATACACGTCCATATTGTCAAAAAGCAGATACACACGTTCGTACTGTGACATAAGAGATATACACGTCCATACTGTCACATAGCAGATATACACGTCCATATTGTCACATAGCAGATATACACGTCCATATTGTCACATAGCAGATATATACGTCCATACTGTGACATAGTAGATATACACGTCCATACTGTGACATAGCAGATATACACGTCCATATTGTCACATAGCAGATATACACGTCCATATTGTCACATAGCAGATATACACGTCCATACTGTCACATAGCAGATATATACGTCCATACTGTGACATAGCAGATATACACGTCCATACTGTCACATAGCAGATATACACGTCCATACTGTGACATAGCAGATATACACGTCCATATGTCACATAGCAGATATACACGTCCATATTGTCACATAGCAAATATACACGTCCATACTGTGACATAGCAGATATACACGTCCATATTGTCACATAGCAGATATACACGTCTATACTGTGACATAGCAGATATACACGTCCATATTGTGACATAGCAGATAAACACGTCCATACTGTGGCATAGCAGATATACACGTCCATATTATCACATAGCAGATATACACGTCCACATTGTCACATAGCAGATATACACGTCCATATTGTCACATAGCAGATATACACGTCTATACTGTGACATAGCAGATATACACGTCTATACTGTGACATAGCAGATATACACGTCCATATTGTGACATAGCAGATATACACGTCCATACTGCCACATAGCAGATATACACGTCCATATTGTCACATAGCAGATATACACGTCCATACTGTCACATAGCAGATATACACGTCCATATTGTCACATAGCAGATATACACGTCCATACTGTCACATAGCAGATAGCCAGACACGTCGGTACTGTGATTTAGGTAGATATCCGTATGTGTGGATTCGGTGATATAGCTGATACCCGTCACGCCAAACCTTCTTGTTCTACTTTTTATAATTTCATATTACTATTCTTGTAATGGAAATGCAAGAAATTCAAATAAGATGTTACAAAACACGAGACGGTTTTATGTCCTTGCACATTATCATCTTACAACTAGTGCGGATGAATTATGGCATTCATCCAGCCAACGTCTAAAGATAAGCATGCGCTGCCCTGGACGCTAATGGCTCGCATCGGGGTAATGCAATATGTGGGATTGACATTATTCTCACAAAATCAATTCTTATAGAATATTCTACAGTTCGTATGAGTAACACAAACTGACATTTAAGCACAATGAGATGAAGCAACATCAAGGTATTACACAGACATAGATCAAATAGAAGCTATTTTGGGGTCTTGTTTTTTACCTTGGTACATGTCCAAACTTACGGGCAAAAGAAAGTACACTTGGGTTTGACCAAAACATTATAAACGTTATCGAAAACGTTTCTAGACACATGAGGATCAACGTCGATGACGGCACCTTGCAAGGGCAGTGCAACGCTGGCAGATTTGTGACTGTCAGAGAGTGTTTCTGTCTGTTTCTAGCAGATTCTGTTTATTTTATATTGATAGTCGTGCTTCGGTTTATCGGTGCAGGAAGGGCATCGACATGGTGGCGGTGGGGTGATGGTTTCGAGAGGAACTTGTGGCTACCAACGGATGGGAATGGTCATCACTAGTGGCAACCTCAACAGCCAGATCTACAGGGATGACGTTCTTCAACCCGTTGTTTTACCATTCCTTCGCCAAAGGCAACATGTAACACTCTTACAGCACGACAGCACGACAGCGCTAAGCCGCACACTGCAAGGGTCGTCCAGGACTTCGATGCTGCGCACATGACGTTCGTCCATGGTCAGCTAAGTCACCTGACATAAACCCCATTGAACACTCGTGGAATCATCGGGATCGTCAGATCCTCCTTCACAGCAGAACCGTCAACAACTGGAAGCCGCTGCAACGGACGAGTTGAAACGGATTCTCAGCGACGTCATCTGACATCGATGAGATGGCCAATCTGGGCCTGCATTGGTGCCCGTCGTGGTCATATTTGCTGTTGAAAATGTCTGGTATCTGTGAACCAACTCAAACTGATCATGATCATGACAGTGCCTGTTATATTGTGCTTTACTTCTCGCTTTGCCAGATCCGGGGTAGAATTGGTCTTCAGCAACCCATGCTTGCCGTAAAAGGCGACTATGCTTGTCGTAAGAGGCGACTAACGGGATCGGGTGGTCAGGCTCGCTGACTTGGTTGATGCATGTCATCGATCCCAATTGTGAGGATCGATGCTTAGTTAAACTTCTTGGTCAAATTCATGTTTTGATTTTGCCAACACTAGCAACAAGTCTGATTTATACTTAAACGACACAAATCAGCAAGGAAGGGGGCACAATATGGTGCACATTGGGATGCCAACGTCTTGCCTAAATGTACAAATTTCACATTGATGATATCTATGACGTCAAGCATTTCACATTTTTTTCTTCAGAAGGCAATTGCTTTCAGTTTCCAGTTGAGGACCTTTGAAGATAGATATGTAAGTACATATATTTGGCACCATATTTGGATCGTGAGTGCGTGCATGCGTACGTTCTTTCGTTCGTGCGTTGGAATGTGGGTGTGTGCGTGGGTGGGTGAGAGTGAGTGAGTGAGTTGAGTTCATGTTCCATGTATTGTTATTCGAGTCGTTGCTCGGTCAATGTAGTTAACTACTAACACATCACAAAGTAGCAGAGATCAATTCATCAAATGGTGATAAAAGCGGTTGTTTCATCGGAGTGTTTATTTGAATGCCAATGGAGCCACTTCACGGAGGCATCTTTCAGTTAGATGTATACAATCGTACAATGTATAGTCGCATGCCATGCCACAAATAACATTACTGACAAACTCTGTGCAGCTTTCACCACAAGTCACACGATGAAATGTCTTTTTCGGGATTTAGTAAGCGCTCGTAAAATCCATACCGTCGCCTCCACAACACGCTGTGCGAAGTCACATTGGAGAGATCCAGTCAACGTTGATGGTGTTACTCATGATATGGATCCGTGAAGATCCGGGGTTGAATTGGTCTTCAGCAACCCATGCTTGCTGTAAAAGGCCACTATGCTTGTCGTAAGAGGCGACTAACGGGATCGGGTGGTCAGGCTCGCTGACTTGGTTGATGCATGTCATCGTATCCCATTTCCGTGGATCGATGCTCATGATGTTAATCACTGGATTGTCCATTCCAGACTCGATTATTAACAGACTGCCGTCGTATAGCTTGAATATTGTTGAGTGCAAACAAACAAACAAATACTCGTGACATGACTACTGACAGGGATCGTTACCCGGGATGTTGCTGAAAACCATACCTGGCACCTCACTATGTAGTGTTACCTCTGATCCTGGTCCAAACTCGATTATTTACAGACCGCCGTCATATAGCTGGAATATTGCTGAGTTCGGCGTTAAACAACAAACAAACAAAACAAAACCTCTGATCCCTCTAGGAGGCTGGCAGTACTAGGAGCAAAAAGAAGGCGATTCGACAGTGAAAAGTCACGTGGGATCACGCGAATAGATATTGTTACCTGGGATCACGCAAGTTGATGTTTCCTGAGCTCTCACTGTATAATAAATATTGTTCCCTGGGATCTCACTGTGCAGATATTGTTCCCTGGGATCTCACTGTGGTGATAATGTTACCTGGGATCCCACTGTGGTGATAATGTTACCTGGGATTTCACTGTGGTGATAATGTTCCCTGGGATCTCACTGTGTTGATATTGTTCCCTGGGATCTCACTGTGGTGATAATGTTCCCTGGGATCTCACTGTGGTGATATTGTTACCTGGGATTTCACTGTGGTGATAATGTTCCCTGGGATTTCACTGTGGTGATAATGTTACCTGGGATCTCACTGTGGTGATAATGTTCCCTGGGATCTCACTGTGGTGATAATGTTACCTGGGATCTCACTGTGGTGATAATGTTCCCTGGGATCTCACTGTGTTGATATTGTTCCCTGGGATCTCACTGTGGTGATAATGTTCCCTGGGATCTCACTGTGGTGATATTGTTACCTGGGATTTCACTGTGGTGATAATGTTCCCTGGGATTTCACTGTGGTGATAATGTTCCCTGGGATCTCACTGTGGTGATAATGTTCCCTGGGATCTCACTGTGGTGATATTGTTACCTGGGATCTCACTGTGGTGATAATGTTACCTGGGATTTCACTGTGTTGATATTGTTCCCTGGGATCTCACTGTGGTGATATTGTTCCCTGGGATCTCACTGTGGTGATAATGTTCCCTGGGATCTCACTGTGGTGATAATGTTCCCTGGGATCTCACTGTGGTGATATTGTTACCTGGGATCTCACTGTGGTGATAATGTTCCCTGGGATCTCACTGTGTTGATATTGTTCCCTGGGATCTCACTGTGTCGATATTGTTCCCCTGGAATCTCAGTGTGTTGATATTGTTCCCTGTGATCTCACTGTGTTGATATTGTTCCCTGGGATCTCACTGTGTTGATATTGTTCCCTGGGATCTCACTGTGTTGATATTGTTCCCCTGGAATCTCACTGTGTTGATATTGTTCCCTGGGATCTCACTGTGTTGATATTGTTACCTGGGATCCCACTGTGTTGATATTGTTCCCTGGGATCTCACTGTAATGATATTGTTCCCTGGAA